AGGAAATACTACCCCGCCGTGAGAAGGCTAGATTTGACTTCTCAAAGATGCCTGAGGACGACCCTGAGATCTCGAAGTTGTTGAAGAAAGACCTTGCCGAATTTAGGGACAAATTCAAAATTCCCGCTCATATAGACCTAGTTCCTGCAGGGCGTGACGTAGTGCAAATACACCGCCCTGGGTATTGCGCTTTTTACGCGTACCCTTTCCATGTCGGTTATTCTTTCCCTATCCTCCCCTTGGCCGAGGAGTTCTGCGCTACTACCACGTCTGTCCGGCCCAACTGTCTCCCTACATTTACAAACTCATCCGCATGATCTCGAAGTATGCGGAGTTAGCGGGGGTCGAGGTGACCTTTCGCCACCTAATACACCTCTTTGCCCCTAACTTTCATAGGGGGACGATGCTACATCTTCGCCACCGGGGTAGCAAATGTCTAATAGTGAAAATGAGCCCCACTGTTTACTTAGTTGACCTCGGTCACATTACTTTCCATAATACCGCTTCGTGCTAAATTTCCTTGAGGCGGATTTTGACCTATACAACTGTGATCCAATTAAATTTCGTGTCATAATCGATCTAGCTTTCGTTTTACATATATGTTCTACTTCGTTATATTGCTCCTAGGAATTAGCCTATGATCGAAAATATAACACGTCCAACCCGTAAACGAAACGGAGATACTTTTGGTTAAGCAAAAAGACAATTCGAAATTAAGTAGTAGCTTAATCGTAATAATGCAGCTATCTGCAATGGTTTGATTCTCTCGACCCTTTTTCCGGTTCATTACATTTTCATCCAACGACATAAATATACCATCTATAATAATCAAAAGCCATAAATATACCATCTATAATAATCAAAAGCCACATTCCCTGTGTGGTTGTGCCTGTCGCACATGGCTTGCCTAGTGCGGTTCACATTCTCTGTGTGGTTTGCAGACTATTATAGATGGGGTTTACGCAGTGCGCACAAAGTGTTCACCCGAAGGGCTGAGGCTGTGGCAAAGATTGTAACAGCTGCGAATTTTCCCCTCTTACCTAAAAAAAAAAAAAAAAAAAAAAAAAAAGCCACATTAATTCATCTTCCCAATGCTATTCTGTTAGTCAGAGTCAACGAGGAACTGCTCCCCTCCTAAGACTCTATTAATCAGAATGATTAATAAACAAATTAAAGTAGCAACGAAGGTTCTTAATTATTATTTGCACTAATACAAAATTGATCATGTTTTAAAATTATAGTTATATTAAACTTGCTCAATTTATCGTGAGCTTACTTTTTAGGGGAAGTTCTTGATCATATGTGTTATTTTGTGGCATGAATTATTTCTTTGTATTATTGGGAAACCCATAATCCCTATATGTTTAGTAAAACCCATTATTCTAATAGATTTGCGAAAGAAAATTAAAAAGTAGAAGTCCGCCATTGAAGACCATTCAAAGCTTTGATTTCGAAAATGGGTTTTTTTGAATTTGTTAGTTGTTTGGATTGGGTGTTGTTCCAATTGATTGAAAATATCAAAAGGAGTTCAAAATTTGAATTTGAAGTGATTTGGAGTAGATTTGAGCAAGATTTGAGTTAAATTTCAGAAAATACCCAAGGAAGAAGACGAAGTCAGTTTTTTGTATAATTATGTATAATCTTGTATAATAGTGTATATGAGTGTAGAAACACACCTTATACACTATAATACACTTTTATACACCTTTATACACCTTTATACAAGCGTCTGTAGACGAACTTCTTCCACGATTTTCAGTTGCAATTCTTGTTCAAAACCAGTCCAAATCTCCATTCAATGACTTCAAATTTTATATACAACCTCCTTATACTATTTCTAACAAGTCTAAATAACACCCACTCCAAATTTCTCACAAAATCAAATTCGAAATTTAAATCCACATATTTAAGCTTGTTAAAAATCTAATTTTCACCACCCAAATGAATTTGATTTGTTGAACTAATATTTGAGTTACAGTTACTGATTCGAAAATTAACTTAAAAACTTGAGGAATCTTTTTAAAAAATTAAATACAGTAGTAATTTTGAGAACCTATTGGAGTTGGATGTTGAATCTTAGCCTATTATTTTTGGGCTAGTTGGTTGTAAATTGAAATATGGGCTATAAAATTGAAAAGTAGGGAGCCCAATTGTTCTTATGTGAAATTTTCCGTTTGGTAAACAGACAAGGGTAAAGTTCAGCAAGAAGGCTGAGCATAAGACTAGAGACAAGTTAGATTATATACATTCAGACTTGTGGTGTCCAAACAGAGTTCCCTCCAAGAGTGATACCAGGTATTTCATGACTTTGATTGATGATTACTCAAGGATGGTGTGGGTGTATTTTTTTAAAACAAAAGATGAGGTATTTCCCGACATTTGTTAAATGGAAGACGATGGTTGAGAGGCAGACGGAAAGAAAAGTTAAGCGTCTTCGAACTGCCAATGGGTTGGAATTTTGCAATTCTGAGTTCGATAATTTCTGCAGTAGAGAAAGCATAGTGAGACACCGCACTTATGTCGGAACACCACAACAAAATGGGATTGCAGAACGCATGAACAGAACGCTTTGTGATAGGGCACGACGCATGCTTTCACACTCATGTGTTAGCAAGGATTTTTGGGTTGAAGCAATCAAGACAGCTTGTTATTAGGTCAACAGATCTCCATCCACAGCTATTGAGTTCAAAACTCCTTTTGAGGTATGGTCGGGTTCGCCTGCTGAGTATTCAAATTTAAGGATATTTGGTTGTCCTGCTTATGCTCATGTGAGGGATGGAAAACTTGAGCTGGGGGCAAAGAAATGCATATTTCTAGGGTATGCAACTGGAGTGAAAGGTTATAGGTTGTGGTGCACAGATCAAACGACTCCAGAGCTAATTATCAGTAGGGATGTAACATCAATGAATCTGCCTCACTGGACAGTCAGATGGAGAAGGCAATAGCAGAAACAGATCGTGGTGTCAGTGACCGCATAGAGCTAGAAATTGTTTCTCCACTAGCTCAGCCCAGTAGTTCTAAAGTAAAGGAAATGGAGAAGGCACAAAATATTGATCAAGATGATAATGTTGATGCACCTGCACAACAACAACCATATAACATTGCAACATGCAGAGAGAACACAGTGATCAACCGATCACAGAGGTTTGCAAACGTGGTTGTACGAATCCTGTGGGATTCGCTTTGGCAGTTACAGAGACCGTTGATGCGTTTGAGTGTTATAAATATCCAGAAAATATTTCGGGTACAAAACCAAATCGACGGATTAGTGTTATGGCTGAAGAGATTGAGTCTCTTAACAAGTTTAGGCGTTACCTAGACTTGGTTGATGTGTGCGACAATGGGTAGAGCCCTCGCGAGGGCAAGGTAGGGAGACGTTGTTCCTGTTGATGAAAAGAATTCAAGCCAAGGGGAAGATTTGTTATTTTGTGGCATGAATTATTTCATTGTATTATTAGGAAACCCATAATCTCTATAGGTTTAGGAAAACCCATTGTTCTAATAGATTAGGAAAGGAAAACTTATTGTCCTTGTCAATTTGGGAAACCTTTCTCTTATAAGTTTGAGACTATTTGGGATCTATATATAGGGGCTGTAGTTGGGGATTCTATAGATTATATTGCATTTTTCTTCTCATTCATTGTGGAAAATTTTCTTTGCTTCTGCCGCGAGGATTAGGCTTAGCCGAACCTTGTTAAATCGTTGTGTTATTTTTTCTTCTCTATTTGCTTTGGTGTGATTGTGTGCTAATTAACCCACGATCTTCCGCAACAATATGATAGAGTTGAAATATCGCAATGGTTTTCGGATGGCATTTGGGGATTATGATTCTAATAGCCTGTTTGGCCAATCTTAAAAAGTCAGCTTACTTTGAGAAGTGCTTTTCTCAAAAATACCTTTGTGTTTGGCTAATTAATTTGAAAATCACTTCTAAGTAGTAACTAGTGTTTGACCAAGCTTTTAAAAAGTACTTCTAAGTGTATTTTTCTCAAAAGTACTTTTCAGAAAAGTGATTTTGGGAATTCTGCTTCTCCAAAACCGCTTCTACTTCTACTCGAAGGTACTTTTTTTCTTCTAAAAGTTTGGTCAAACACTTTAAGTTTGAAAAGAGACAGTGCTTTTGGATTTGGAGAAGCTTGACAAAACAAGCTATAAATGTGATTATCAAGCAATTAATCCGGATTAGAACATGTGTTAGGATAGGAAAAGACAGAATACCATTTCACTAACAAGACATTGTTTGCAAATATCAATGATGGTGCTTAGCTGTTCTTGTGAAATTATGCCATAGTAAAGCCAAACAAGGAATTACAAAACCTAAAAAGTATTTATTTACCCAGTCACTGGTTGAATCAAAAGCAAGAGATGTTCACCTCCTTGCTTTTTTATTTTGTTTTTCTTCTTCTTTTCTGTTTCTTTTGGCTGATTTATCATTTATGTAGAGTTATGTAGAAGGAAAGCAAACTGAATTATTGAAATGCCGGTCGTCTTTCTATATTCTTTTAAGGATGAAATCGAGATGTATATTACCATGATTTGTAAAAGAAGAAATTAATATATACTAGTAACAAAAAAGGAAAGGTCCAACTAATGACAGTGGCTATATACACCACCAAAAATAAAAAAACTCAGTAAAATCTCACAAGTAGGTCTGAGAAGGGTAGACTGTATTGGTAGTGTGTATGCAGCCTTACTCCTACCTTGCGAAGGTAGAGAGGTGGTTCCCGATAGACCCTGGGCTCAAACAAAGCATAGTCATGGCAGTTATAAAAAGAAATACAGTAGCGGAAAAGCCATGCAAGAGAAGCAGTATCAACAGCCAGATAATAAGATAATTAACAGAAGCAAAAGAAACAACAAGTAGTAAGAGAAATCTAAGGTAAGAAAATACATGAATAATACTAAAACTACTGGTATGGAAAAGAGAAACGCTCGACTACCTACTGGTCTTCTACCCTAATTCTTCCTAGTGTGCATCAATATTTAAAAACATATATGTATGTATTTAGTACTATATCACCCATGAATAACTCCTGGGTTTGCATTTCATCACTGTTAATAACACTAGTACAGATTGATAGTTCAACCCCAAGAAATGAAACCTAATCTTACAGTATAACCATAAGCTCCATGAACAGCCATCACACATCGGCTCTATATACAGAATACACAACAGTACATCTCTAGCTAGCATTACAAAAAGGCAAAGCTAACTACTCGTAAATCGGTTTGTTCCCGTCATATCCTCCAGCTGGTTTCGGCATGTGCTCTTTTGTATAGACACGGTGCTGTCTCTCTCTCCCATATATCACCCAGAATGTGAGGGAAAGCAATACTGCTAGACCAACCATCACAAGACCAATGTATACCCATTTACTGTAACGCTGAAGTCCGGGACAGTATATACGATATATGTCACCAAACGTTTGTCTAACGAAATCACAATCTTCTAGGTCAACCAGGAATGGACCATAATGGTACAATCCAAAGCTCACATTTACAGCAGCTGCCATCTGGCTGTAGATGGTTGGAGTCAGTCGGCCTGTTGTGGCGCATATGCCACTTGACGAAACTTGACATACATAATTCTTCCATACCTGCATTGATACGAAAAAATTAGAGGCGATGTGATTTCTACTTTTCAGGAAGTAAGTTTTAAGGTATACGTACTTTTGTTGCATTGCTCAAGTCCACGTCACCAGGACTACAGGATCGATCAGTCAAGTCGGGGTTAAACGGATTGCAAAGGGTTGGCAGCTTAGGTCCAGATTGGTTGTAGTACAAAGGACCAAAGTTGGGAGAGAAATTGTTGTTAGACACATTTGTAATGACCTGGTTAACAACATTGACCAGCTGAGAAGTGACTTCTTTGCTTTTCATAAGGGTCTCTTGGGCAGTGGCATTGTCAACACACGGCAATATATCATCTAAAGCGGTATGAGCAAGAGGGTGTTGGACCCATTGATTCATTGCTACACAAGTGTCTGCAGTCACACTGAAATGTCGGAACAGAAAACAATTAGAGATGTTTCACGTTCTACATTTCTAAATCAAGACTGAGATTGAGAAAGAATGGTGACTTTTAGAGGTTTTTTATAAACAGGGAAACAAATTCCCAACAGATAAACGAGTGATCATACAAATACAGAACAGAGCTTACTTGTGGAGAACAAGAAATATGCCACACAAGATTAAAGTTCCAGTGACAAGAATCCATCCAAAAATAACCAAGCTGCATAAATAGAAAAGGAGAGTATTCGTTTAGACAGAAGAACAGAGCCAAGGAAACGAAATACAAGAAAGATTGAAAGAAAGAACAGCTTGGTAATATGAAATGTTCACTCACGTGTAAACGAAAACCTGCATGCCGAAAAGTGAAAATACTGGAAGGAGAAAAGAAAACAGAGAAAATTTATTAGAAGTAGAAACTGTTAAATAGTTCTTATACTCAGATTTCAACGTAATGGTCATCTTACCAAAGCCAAGAAATGTCAGTAGAAGCATAATGGCTGATAGAATGATAAGCGCCAATCTCCTGCATAAATATTACCACAGGCATTTTAGAACCTAAGCAGCAGAGTTATATGTGTGTTTGGTGGGTTAAAGTGCAACTAAATACGCTAGAACATAGCAAAGGTGGAAAAACATGAGCCACAAAAGAAGTTGGGAACAGGATTTAAAGAACTGATCCACAAAATAAATGTTTTAAATAGATGCAATTAAACAGTGCTGAATAGATGAACAGACAAAATCGATCCTTCTCGATTCAATTGTGTAAGTTCTAAAGATAGAAATTGCCTAGAACAAGGTTGTAAAAATGTTCACTTACACAGACTCTACCAAACGTGCTATGTCATCCTTATTCTCTGATGTTTTACTGGCAAGGGTATTAGCAGAAGAATTAATCTTGGTTTGGATGCGGTCTATGTCTGTTTGGACTGTACCAGGAAGCAAAACTTGATCCACCGCAATAAGTTTGGCTGCTGCTAGATAACCTGAGACGTTTCTGAGACTATTAGCAGTGGTATTTGCCTGATGGACCACGTAATCCAACGTGTTAACTGTGCTGCTGTGAAACTTTCCCTGACCAATGTACAAAAGGATACATCCAACACTGCACAAGGAACAAAATACACTAAGTTATAGATTGGGCACATCAGAATAGAGAGCAAGGGAATGTGACATGTTTGTGTCTGTGGGTGAAGAAGTTGAGTGAAGTGGGAGTATTCGTGATGAGAGCGGATATCAATTTTGCATACACAGCCATAAACATTTGTATATGCTATATACATATATATATATATATATATATATATATATATAGAGAGAGAGAGAGAGAGAGATAGATAGATAGAGAGAGAGAGAGAGAGGGGATAAATACATTGCAGCAATGGTAAAAAGTATGAGGAGTATGAGGGAGAGAGCATAAGCTATTCGAGAGTAGCCATAAGGTACTCTTCTACAGCAACAGTAACAGAGACAGATGGACACTAAGCACAGCCCGAAGATCACAAACCAGATCAGTGCAACGACAAAGAACGGAGCTGCAGTGAAAGCCACGGACTGCACAGAAATAAATATAACATGAGAAACAACTGAACAAAGATTTTATGTAACTAAAATTTAAGGAAAGATAACCAAGTATATCCTTCATTGCTAAAAGTCAAGAGAAAAAGAGGAATGTACAGCGAAGCACAGATTGTGGGACAGCTATTTTAAAGTACATATACAAGGTTTTATTTGCCGATAATAAAGATTTGGGAATCCCATTTCTAAAAAGTGATCAAACATTTGAAATATGAAAAAATTCTCTGTCTATGGATTTTGTAGTTACACAAAAAGACAATTTTAAATCATCACATAAGACCTGTTATAGCATAATTGGTTGAAATGAATGGGCTAAATCATCAATCGTATTGATATGCAAAACAAAAGGTTTCAAGTCACGGAAGAGGATCGCTTTTCTGAGATGCAATTACATACTTCTCTCTGATCAATTAAAGGATAATGACTTTAATCTTCGAAATTTTTTAGTATCTGTATTCTCGAGTCCAGATGAGATCCTCCGTTACTAGTATTATAGTCCATCATTAAAAACAATAATGGTAATACAACTCAACTCGTCAGAGTACTGAAAGAAAAAATTTCATCCTTTTAAGGACAATGATCCGGACTCCAAATTAAGCAAAAACTTCTTAGTTCTTAGTCGTGACGTTTTCTGTAGTCAACAAAGTTGGTTAACTACCACTCAGCAATGAACTGAGAACAACTTCTTGTAAACAAGTAAATCACTTGAAATGAGCAAAGGCAATGAACCAGATATTCTTTTGTTTAGAACTTTTTTTTACAACTCAAACAAAGACTTTTATTAGGTTGAATAAGCAACGAACAAGTTTACAATAAAACTAGGAGCATACTGTTTTGGTTTGGTTGGAGAAGTGTTTTACTGTTTGGAGATCTTACTCCATTTAAAAAGTGAAGAATTTCTTATTTTTTTCTTCATTTCTCTATGCAACCCAAGAAAAGATGTGTAAAACTTTTCAAACTTCCCTTCCACAATATTCAAACAAAATGATAAAGTAGACAACCACAGAACATTTACACATCACTGATCTACTACTTTAAAATTTAATTTTTTTCATGTACAAGTCCAGATATTTTGAATTTTATATTCCAAAGGCCAGACAATACCAGACAAAGTGGTGATTTATCTAATACTATCTCTCATTTCCAATGCAACAAACAACAAAATTGCAGCAATAAAGGTTTTAACTTTCAACCCACAATACCCTATGCTGTAACTTTTCTCAAATAATTCAGAAATCCGTTCGTCAAAATGCCCCCAATGAAACCCACATGAGAGATTTACAGTTAGTAATTCACAAGAAAGGTAAAAACATCGAATACTTACAGCCCAGTAATGGCGCTCACTGATATTCCAGCCTCCATTATATCTCTTGAAATTATCAAAAGGATCTTTTCTATATGTTCTTTTAGCAGCCAATATAAGTGATGAGTTCAATGGAGGTTCACCATTTGGACTTTCAGCAAGATATCTTTTTGTTGTTCCTTCCCCATTTTCACCTAAAACTACCCAAATATATCAACATAAAAAAGAGATCTTTTGACAATGAAATTAAAGACTAAAAAAAGTATAATACCTGAAATGGGTGGTGTTTGGAATGTATGAAAATCAGAATCAACCCATCCAAGGGTAAATGAAAAGAGAAAGGAAGAGAAAATGAAGAAAACAGTTACAAGAGAAAATAGCAATGACCCTTTACCCAACATTATAAATTGTAATTATGCGTCGTTTTTCTTGATGCGATTTGTAGGGAAAGAAAATGTTAAAATCTTGTAAATATTGCAATTGGAATGTTGAGTATGAAGTTAGAGAAAAGTTGTGCAGTTATCGGAACAAGTGTAACAGAGAGGAGGAGGAAATGAGAGGAGGAGTAGTTTTTAACTGTTGAAAAACATACTTCAAACAAAAGAGATCAAGAAAATTGAGAGAGAAAACATAAGGGTGGAAATGTCGTAATGGAAATTGATATTTGAAGCAAAGGAGTTAGACACGGGTTAGGACAAAATATACACGCTTATGTTTGATGTCCAAAAACTTTACTAGCATGTCATTGTTTTTGAATCTTATTCCTGATTTGCCCTTAGTGATATGATAGTACTTAGTAGTACAACCAAATCTTCTGTAACACCCTAGTACGTTTCGAGATGTTTTGGCTTTTATAGCGATTGATTTTTATACACCAATAATAGCATTTGACGTTTGAATATTTTTTGGCTGTTAAAGATAAAACTTATCCAAATTCAATTATTTTCCTTTTTTTAATGTTAAATATAAAGATAAAAAAATTCTTCAAATTTAAAATCTCATAAGATATGCATATTTCACTAGGTATATATTGAAAAAAGCTAATACATTATTAACAAATTCATTAACTAAACGTACAAAGATTTAAACTATAAGGCACACATTTTAAAGCTATGAGGAAAATAAATTCTTTCAAAATTGATGAAAGAATTTTATAATTGTAGATGTTTCGTAGATTTCATTCTCTTACTACCGATATGATGCTTGAGTTGGTGAAGATTCGTATCCAAATTTTTAGCAAAAAGGTATCCAATGAAAAATATATCCTGTGGAGATCTTCAAATCTTATGTCTTATGTGATAAATGATGAAAAGTGCATATTTTTGAATATATTTGCATATTAATTTTTGTGTGTGTCGTGGGAGATTACATGATTTTCGAAGTGAAATATACTCATTATGTGTTTCTTATGTGTAGGAACGAGTTTGGATGCTAAATGATCAAAAGATGACAATTCGACACAAAAAGAAGAAAGTAAAGGAGTGGGAGCTCGTCTATTCTCGTGCGTGGCACGAAGTCAGAAGCGAAAAAGGAGAAAAATTAAGGCACAAAACAGCGAAGCGAAGCAAAGGCACGGAGCGCTTCGCGAAATGGAAGAATTTCAAAAGCTGCATCCGCGTCAAAGTCCGCGTCTAGACGCGAAGGCAGACGCGGATCCGCGTCAAAGTCCGCGTCTAGACGCGAAGGCAGACGCGGATTCCAGCTCTCCCATCCGAAGTTGGATTGAAGAATTTCGCCCCTCATCAACCCTAGGTCGTATAAATACATCCTAAAATACCACTTTGAAGGGAGAGACACTACTTTAGGGTTAGACAACACCCTTGGAGGCAAGAACATGCTAGGAGCAAGGAGGAAGATTCAATTACGAGTTTTTCCCCTTCTTCTTCCTATTTTTTCATTGTTGGTTATGATTTTTAGTATTGTAGTTTTACATGCTATTATGAATAGCTAATTTGTTATCTAGGGTTTTGATGGAACCTTTGTAGGATAAATTCTTGTTATTTTTATATAATTGAGCCGTAGTATTTTCTCTATTTGTTCAACTACGTGTTTGTTGTAGTTAATTGACAGGATCCTCAATTAGCTGTGCCTATTTAGTGTGCATAACTTGGGAGAGAGTGCATATTTAGGTAGTTGTTGAACAACACCACTCCCAAAGTATAAGAGGGATCTATAACTGCGGGTTTAAAGGCGGGATTAGGGATAACGAAGCCTTGGGTGCAATCTAAAGTGAGCTGTAATAAACGAAGCCAGCTAGCGTAACTCGGGAGAGTGCGTCTAGTAAATTGTGGTAATTACTCGGGAGAGAGTTACGGCAGTCAGAGCGCTCATGATCGGTAGAGAATGCTTAGGCGAATTTATAGAAAACGTAGCGGGAAGGATTCCGACAATTGGGGAAATCATAACTCTAGACCTCCTTAATCTCGACTCCAACCCTTATCCTTGTTAATTGATAGTTTTATTGCTTTCTAGTATTTGTTAGTTAACTGGATAAAAAAATAAACATTGTATCTTTTATAATTAGGAAATTGTTTGGGCTTGTATTTCTTAGCGATATTGAACAACTATATCTAAGCCTTAGTTCTCTGTGGGATTCGACTCCGGACTTGTAAACCGGATTATATTTGCAGCGACCGCTTATCCTTTTTAGGACTAGAGTTGGGCGTGATCATCATGCAAGATAGAAACTTTGTTCAATGGAAAAGATTATGTGCATATTTATAGAATTATTTTAGTAATCTTAAAGATTCTATATTGTTGTTATAAAGGGGTAACTTTACAAAGATTGTTCTGCTATAAATATGGATGTTGCTATTATAGGTAAAAAGCTATTATAAAGAGATAAAATATAACTTAAAAAATCGGTTCTAAGTAAAAATTAGCTTTTATATTGAATGACTCTTATATAGGGATGCTGTTATAGAGAGGTCTGACTGTATATATTTTTGTCTATGCAACATAATACTATTAGAAGGGGAGCCTTGGACAACGGTAAAGTTGTTCTATATGACTTATAGGTCACGAGTTGTCACGGGTTTGAACCGTGGAATCAGCCACTGATGCAGGCAATAGGTTAGGCTGCATATATCATACTTCTCCTTCCACGTACCTTACATGAATATGGGACGGTTCATGCATCGGGCTGCCCTCTAATATTATTTATTAGGGGTGTACATAAGTCGGGTTGGTTCGGGTTTTTCAAGTACCAAACCAAACCAATTATCTCGAATTTTTAAATCTACATCAAACCAAACCAACAAAAGTCGGATTTTTCAATATCGATTTTTCTCAAGTTTTTCGGTTTTTTCGGAGTTTACGGGTTTTTTCGACAAAATCTTCATATCATAAAATATATATATAATTTGTACTCTAATATTTTAGGTCCTAGTAGGATAAAACTATATAAGATGTTACCCAGTAAAATAATACTAAATAATGTGAGATGAGTCATGATTATACTAAAATACTCAACAAATCGCATAAAATAAATATTGAAAATTAATAAGCCATAATAAAAATAAACATCATCTAAAAGTACAAATTCATGCTAAAATAAGTACGGCGAATAAGTACTAAGTATTAATTACATGACTAAATAATATTAAAAGTAAGTTATGCATTTTCACTATCTAAACCAATATTGCAAAACTAAATAATAAATATCTAATACTTGTTTTAGCTGGACTCCCTGATTTTAGGCGCTTTTTGTTGCAGTATTCATGAATACAGCAACGTGAATACATGCGCGTACAACTAGAATGCCTTTTTTTATGCGCTTTTTGCTGATGTATTCATGAATACAACAACGCGGATACGTGTGAATACATGCGCATACATCTGTACTGCCCTGATTTTTGGTGCTTTTTGCTGTTGTATTCATGAATACAACCGCGCAAATACAGCGAATACACTACCGTAACAACTGAATAGTAGCTATAGGAAGTAATTATGTATATGGTAGCTATAGGAAGTTAATAGCCACTAAACAATAGTGGTTTCGGAAGATTTCTCTAAAACATATTAGATCATTCAAAAGTTCTAAGTCCAAGCTTGAAATAATACATTAAAAAAGAGAACTATGAAAAAGTTGTAAAAATATTTGTAAATAACATTACAATTATTATTTTTATGTATGAAATAATATTAAACTTGTATACATGTAATGTCAGTTTGCTTTGGTTTTGGTTTGACTTTTTTTAGTTAAAACCAAACTAAACCAATTACGGTCGTTTCTAAAACCAAACCAAATCAAACCAAACCATAATCGATTTTTTTCTCCGGTTTGACTCGGATTATCGGTTTGGTGCGGTTTGTCGGTTTTCTTTGTACACCCCTACTATTTGTAATAGTATAGTCCGGACAGAGTTTGTGCGTACCACACCACAATTAATTATCAGTGCTAGTTTTTTCTGTTAGTAGACTGTATTTGTAAAGTAATTCTGGAAATATAAACAGGAATGAATATAAACAGAAATCACATAAAACCAATTCGAGCCCACTGAATTCACAGTGTTTCCTTAAGGAATTTAATCCCCTCCTAGTACCCAAGGTTATGGATTATTTCCTCCCAGGATAGAACGAATTATACACTGGTGTAGTGGTACTTAAAACCCCAGTGTTTCAGCGAACACAAAGTTCGGTAGCAAATCACACTTACTTTTTCTTTGTTTGATGCTAAAAGTATGCAGAAGAAGGAGAGAGAACTCAGAAAATCGTAGTGAAATTCTGAGCAGAATAGTGTTGTATTTATAGCCAAAATTGGGTTGAAATCTGAAGAGGTGCAACTCTTCAGAATGGCTGTTTATGCAAAACGCCCACAGCATAAATTCCATTACATAAATGGCCATTTACTCAACAATAAAGAGGGAAAATAAAGAATGAAAATTGAAGAGGGTAGTTACTTTTCTGTTACCAAAATAGAAAAACGGATTGGATTTAATATTAATATTTAATATTAATATTCTGTTATTAAAAAAAATTAATAATATTTCTGTTAATATTTTACTATTAACAAATAAATTTGGTCCAAAAAGTTAATCAATCAATCGGTCATTTGACCAAAATCCGAATCCGAAGCCGAAGCCGAAGCCGAAGCCGAAGCCGCAGCCGTAGCCGTAGCCGTAGCCGAAGCCGAAGCCGAAGCCGAAGCCGAGCCGAGCCGAGCGAGCGACGACGACGACGACGCGAGGCTTGCCTTCTTCTCAACTCTTTAAGAGCTAGAAGAAGAGCAATTGCTTATATGCCCATAAAAAACCTCTTCCTCTTCCAATATGGGACAATGCCCATTTGCCAAGGGGGGAAACTTAAAATTTCACTCAAAAATTTCATTTCCCTCCATTTCCCATTCACCCTCTTTTAAGTATTTAATATATTAATTTAATACATCCAAAACCCAACAATCCCCCACATGAATGGGGAATGGATATATCACGGAAGTATGTATGAAAAACTGTATGATTCGCAAGTAAGGATTAATTGCATCTGGATAAGTAGGTTTCCCTTTGAACTTTCCGTAGTGAATTTATGTCGGAAATACTCGATCAATCGGTAGATTTGATATCTTTGAACCGTCGAACTTTAGTGTATACCTAGACAACCATAAGTCACACAACCAACCCTTAACCGTCTTTGGTTCTCATTATTGTGTTCGTTTTAGCCATGAACACCGCCTGGTTTCATAAGTGCGTAAAGAAATAGCCTTACAATGTTCTCCTTTAAGCGGCTAACAC